CTTTATTGTTCATATTACATTTGTTCCTCTTTTTTCCCCCTCCACAACTCCCCTCCTCCCAGTTCCCGCCCTACCCTCCGACCTCACTCCCCACCCACTGTCCTCATCCATAGGTGCATGATTTTTGTCCAGTCTCTTCCCGCATCTCCCACACCCTTTTCCCCCCCAAGAATAGTCAGTCCATTCCCTTTCTATGTCCCTGATTCTATTATAATCACCAGTTCATTCTGTACATCATATTATTTATTCACTTGATTCTTAGATTCACTTGTTGATAGATGTGTATTTGTTGTTCATAATTTGTATCTTTACCTTTTTCTTCTTCTTCCTCTTCTTAAAGGATACCTTTCAGCATTTCGTATAATACTGGTTTAGTGGTGATGAACTCCTTTAGCTTTTCCTTATCTGTGAAGCTCTTTATCTGACCTTCACTTCTGAATGATAGCTTTGCTGGATAAAGTAATCTTGGTTGTAGGTTCTTGCTATTCATCACTTTGAATATTTCTTGCCATTCCCTCTGGCCTGCAAAGTTTCTGTTGAGAAATCAGCTGACGGTCGTATGGGTATTCCCTTGTAGGTAATTGAGTCTCTTTCTCTTGCTGCTTTTAAGATTCTCTCTTTGTCTTTTGCTCTTGGCATTTTAATTATGATGTGTCTTGGTGTGGTCCTCTTTGGATTCCTTTTGTTTGGGGTTCTCTGTGCTTCTTGGACCTATAAGTCCATTTCTTTCACCAGGTGGGGGAAGTTTTCTGCCATTATTTCTTCAAATAGGTTTTCAACATCTTGCTGTCTCTCATCTTCTGGTACCCCTATAATTCTGATGTTGGTGCGTTTGAAACTGTCCCAAAGGCTCCTTACACTATCTTCGTATTTTTGGATTCTTTTTTCATTTTGCTTTTCCGGTTGGGTGTTTTTTGCTTCTTCATATTTCAAATCTTTGACTTGATTCTTGCGCTCCTCTGGTCTGCTGTTGGGTGTCTATATAACATTCTTTATTTCAGTCAGTGAATGCTTAATTTCTAGTTGGTTCTTTATCACAACATCGAGGGTCTCATTAGATTTCTTGAGGCTCTCATCAAGTTTATTGGCAGTTTCTAGCAAATTATTGAAAGCCCTCAAAAGTGCGTTTTTTAGCTCTATATCCTCCATTTCTGTCATGTTTTTTTGTCTCCACATTTTTTATGCTTTCTTGGTGCACTCCCTTGTGGTCTTTGTGCACAGTCTTGTTGTAGTTAAGCCTTAATTGTTGTTGGCAATACTAGGGGTGAATTGACCTCCAGGTTAACTGGCTATGAGAATCAGCTGTGTCTGCAGTGGGAGAGCTTCTGTGCTGAATCTCTAGGGCGGTGCTAATCTAGCCTTTGCCTGAGGCTATCCGGCAAATGCCTCTGTGCAGGGCTTGGGTGGGGCGAGTCCCAGGGGATCAATAGGGTGGGCGGAGCGAGCAGTATGGCTGCTCTCAGTTCCGTCGCCAGCGGCTCTGCAACCGCTGCAAACCTCGGAGAGAAAGCTGCCTTCCCGCTTCTCCCGTTTGGGTCTGGGTTCCTAGAGACTCGCCCGGATCTGGAGCTCAGAGTATGAAACTCCCTCCCGATTGAAAACAACAACCTCGCCCTCCGCCACCAGCCCGCTCCACATGCACTCCGCACCTTAGTATTTCACCTCCGCACTGCGCCTCCTCTGAGTCTCGGTATGGATTTCTTTTTCCTTCTAGTTGTAGAATCTCTCCTCAGCCAGCCTTCCTGTGGTTCTGGGTGATGTCCGTTCCGTCTTTTAGTTGTATTTTTGAAGTGGTTGTTCGAGGCAGCAAACTCCGGCGTTAACTTATGCCGCCATCCTAAACAAATGTCTTTAATAAATCATTTGAATATTTTAGATCATAGTTTACACTAAAACAAAATATCAGAGATGTACTAAAGAGTGAAACAGTCATTCTATTATTAAACAATAGAGGAAAATAAAGTAGGATATTTATCAAACCCTAGCATGAATAAAGACTATTTAACATTAGAAGCAAAGAAAAATATCAACAGAGTTGACTATATAAAAACTAAAACTTCTGTCACCAAAAAATCAGGATAAACAAAAGAATAATCTGCATGCTAGAGAAAAGAGTCATAGCATATGTGATAAAGTGTTGATATAAAGAGCTCACAAAAATTAATTCAAAAAGCACATTGTGTTCTAATTACATAAGTGATAAAAACTAACAGGGGTATTATGAATGAGAAAATTAAATTAGAATAGAAAATTAAATTAGAAAACAGGCTTTTAATAAAATGTATAGCTCACTAATGATCAAAGTAATGAGGTATCATTTCTCTTAGTCAATTAACAACAAAAAAACGTTTTTAATGATAATATCCCAAGCTGGTAAGAGTAGTTAAGGTAGGCTCTTTGATACACACACTGACATACTACTCGGTAACAATATAACAAACTGCAATTTGGGAATATGCATCAAGAACTTTAAAAATGTTCATAGTTTTTGGTTTAGTAATTTTACTTCTGAGAATATGTCATATAATAATTTGGCGATAAGCTATATGCCTAAGGATATTGGTTACAGATTTAAAAATAATATTTTAAAAATGGAAATAACCCAAAAGTTCAACAAAATGGAAATGGTAACATATATTTTGGCTGTATCCATTTAATGAACTAACATATACACATTTAAAACAATGATTGCAAAAACTAGAAAAAGACAAGGCAAAAATAGGGGAATAAAATTTCTATGTAAAGTATGTTTCCACTATGTTTAAAAATAAGCAGAGACATTCTTAGGATAGAGGATTGTTTTGTTTTCTGTAGTTTCCAAAAGCATTTGTATTACTATTTTTAATGAATGCACACACGTGTGTGTATATAGTGTATACATATGTAAAAGATGAATATATATATATGTATATACATACATGTATATACATATATATATGTGGAAGATGAGTATATATATGTGAAGATAAGGTGGTTTTGTCACATAGAGCCCAGGTAATGGGGCATAGGAGTGGATCCCAGACACCATGAACATCTTTGGAGGTAAGATTGCCAATCCGGGTCTTTCCTGCATTCTTCACAGAGGAATTGTCTCCTAAAGCCAAACCCAATTCTGGAGATTTCATGTAATCTATAAGAGGTAAGCAACCTGATGAAAAATAGTGTCTTTAGGGAAAATAAAATACATATGGACTGTGTTTTGTTTAGAATCAGGTTCTTGGGATTAACCACCTTTCAAACTAGATAGGAGGTCTTAGCGATACCTGTGATGCAGGGTCCTAGGACCTATTTCCCTCTCTTTGGTGCTTTCAACTCTCTGGCGTATTTTAGGGATGGGGAGACTAACACTCTGGCAATCAGATGTGGGAGCTAAGATCACTCTAATATCAAGGAAGAAGTTATGAGGGTACAAGTCCCTAGGTATGTAAAGGACCATCTTCTGGGAGGGGGTTATCGAGGGATGGTTCTGAGACAGAGAGACCCTTGGCCACTTGTGCCACTTAAGCTTTTTGCTTGGGCTCCTATAATTCATATTTCAAATATACTCCACACTCCTTCCCTCTTGTCTTCTTTTCTTGTTCCCTTTCTTCCTCCTTCCCTCCTCTCTCTGGCTCTTTTTCTCTTTCTTTTCCTCATTATAAAAATATTTATTTAGTACCTACTCTATGCTGGTAGTGTGTAAGGTTTTGCCTCCCCCCACACATGTAGTTTAATGGGCAAGCTAATCAGGAATTGCAGTACAGTGAAAGAAGTGCAATGCTGGAGATAAGTGAGGCCACTCAGAGGAGGAGAAAGAACCAATCCAGTTGGGGGAGAGATAACCAGAAGGGGTTCCTGCGAGATGACATCTTAACTGTCCTGAAGGCTTTTTACAGAGAGGAAGGGAGAGAGATAGAGAGTTAGAAACATCGATGAGAGAGAAACATCGACCAGCTGCCTCCTGCACATCTCCTACTGGGGATGTGCCCGCAACCCAGGTACATGCCCTTGACTGGAATCGAACCTGGGACCTTTCAGTCCGCAGGCCGACGCTCTATCCACTGAGCCAAACCGGTTTCGGCGCGAGATGACATCTTAACTGTCCTGAAGGCTGCATAGGGATCAGGCATGTGAGGAGATGCAGATAAGGGAGGCCCAGGCAAATGGACAATGTATCTTTTATTGTGTGACTAATCCAAGGCAAGGCTGTGTGTATGTGTGTGTGTGTGTGTGTGTGTGTGTGCATGTGTGTAATATACCAAATGGCCTAATGTCACCCAGGAGAAGGGGAGAGGGAGGAATAGAATGGGAGAAAAAGGAGGAAGAACAGACATAGAAAATAAGGGACAGGGTAGTAAAGAAGAAACTGAAATGATCTAAGAGAGAGGAATTAGTTAGAATGGAATGGAATGGAATGGAATGGCCCCACCGGCATGGTTCAGTGGTTGAGCGTAGACCTATGAACCAGGAGGTCATGGTTCGATCCCTGGTCAGGGCACAGGCCCGGGTTGCAGGCTCGATTCCCAGTGTGGGGCATGCAGGAGGCAGCTGATCAATGAGTCTCTCTCAACATTGATGTTTCTAGCTCTCCCTCCCTCTCCCTCCCTTTGTGAAATCAAGAAAAATATATTTAAAAAAATAAAATAATTGGATGGAATGATCTGAGTCAATATCCTTGGAAAACTCAAAGGAAGGATTCTTGGCAAGTTGACTCTTGGAGCTGTCCCTGTGCCTGGTCCTATGCTCAGATATGAGTAAATTGGAGTGACACTGTTGTGCCATCACTGAACTCACAATCCTGTTGAGGAAAAGTGGTTACCCATAAGGAATATGTTAAATATTGCAAATATCAGGGCAGAAAAAGATTGAGGTGGATTGAAATAGAAAAGTCTTCCTGGAAGAGGTGAGTATTGGGAAAGTAGGTCTCAGAAGTGGACCCTGCTGAGGTGGTGTGAGTCTTGCTTAGATCCAGTATGAGTGTGCTGTGTGGGGTCTGTCTCTCATGGCTGGTCTGATTTCAGGACTCAGGATGCTGTTGCTGCAAGCTGTTCTACTGTTACTAGTCCTGCCCAGTCGTGGTCAAGATACTCCGACCAAAGAACCTGAAGTCCAACTTCCCCTGCCTAAAGGGGTCTGCACTGGTTGGGTGGCGGGCATCCCAGGGCATCCTGGCCACAATGGGACCCCAGGACGTGATGGCAGAGATGGCACTCCTGGTGAGAAGGGTGAAAAAGGAGATGCAGGTAAGAACAAGTTTTTTGGCCTTCTCCAACAGACTTGTCTTGGGTAGAGGAGGGCTTCTAGAACTATATAAGGGTATTAGTTATTGACTAAGGTCTAGACACAGGAAAGAAGCAAATTTTTTTTATGTGACTCATAAGCAACCTAAAGTGGATTTTGGGTTGGCCTTCCAGTGGTGACAATAGGTGTACTTGTGAAAAATCAAGTATCCTTGATTCTGCTCTATCTGTATCTCCTTCCCTGTCCCCTTTCCCATCCCCATCCTCATCCATCCCTAGTCCCAATCTGTTCATATTCCTATTTCTATTCATTTGCCCTTAATTCCCATTCCATGCAGTGACATTCAACCACACTTAGTGTTCACCTCCTGCAGGTCACAGTCCTGCTCCTAGAGAGCTCCTGGTCTAGTTAAGAAGAGAAGCCTAATGCACAGGACTGTGAAAGGTTACTATTGGGAAGTCCACTCCAAATATGCCAAATTGAATGCGAACAAATGCCAAATTATGGAACAGAGAAAAGATGCCCTTAGAGCAAACTTAGATTAACAATGAGGCTTTATGGAGGAGGAAGGGTTTACGCTAGGTCTTGAAAGATGAGTGGACAGAGTAAAGAAGGGAGGGCATCCTACACAAAGGGATAGAAGAGCAAAAGTATGGTTGGTTGAGACAGTACATAGTTGACAGGTCGATAATGGAGACTTATTGGACATAGGTTGGAAAGAATTAATGGAAGCCTGCTGGGGAGGATGTGGAAATAGGAGGTATAACTCTCCCCTTTGGGTGCTCCCACTGGTTCTTTGCTCGAAGTGAAGCAGGTTGTATATAGGGGCCATAGGAACAGTGTTTTAGGTTGGAATCAACTTAGGCAGGAGTTCTGTTTCTTGTGATCACCGAGATCTTTTCATTCTTTAGGTCTTGTTGGTCCTAAGGGTGACACTGGTGAAACTGGAGTGACTGGGGTTGAAGGTCCCCGAGGCTTTCCAGGAGTCCAAGGCAGGAAAGGAGAACCTGGAGAAAGTGCCTATGTATACCGCTCAGCGTTCAGTGTGGGACTGGAGACCCGGGTCACTGTTCCCAATGTTCCCATTCGCTTTACCAAAATCTTCTACAATCAGCAAAACCACTATGATGACACCACTGGCAAATTCCACTGCAACATTCCTGGGCTCTACTACTTCTCCTACCACATTACGGTCTACCACAAAGATGTGAAGGTCAGCCTCTACAAGAAGGATAAGGCTGTGCTCTTTACCTTTGACAAATACCAGGACCAGGACGTGGACCAAGCCTCTGGCTCTGTGCTCCTCCATCTGGAGATGGGTGACCAAGTCTGGCTCCAGGTGTATGGGGAAGGGGAGAATAATGGGCTCTATGCAGATAATATCAATGACTCCACCTTCACAGGCTTCCTTCTCTACCATGACACTAATTAGTGACCACTTAACCAGAGCCTCCACTGGGCCAAACAACCCAGAAGTCAAAGAACAGCCCAAGGGTTTTCAGTGTAGTTAGGAGACTGATATTATTATTTAGTTGGAGAGTTCTGGACATTATTCATGCATTTACTCATTCATTCATCAAGTGCCCTTTTTAAAAAGTTAATAGTTTATTCTCAGTCCTAAAGGAGATATGTTCCCTGGCTGCAAGGATTTGGTACATAGTGTCAAATAGAAGGATAACAGTATTTACTGGGGAGCTTCACATACATGACAAGATAATTTTTTTCTTACAGTTTTAAATTCTGAATGATTCCCTTTTATATATGTATTGCTATTCATTCAGTGATTATTTCTACATATAAAACTTTGTCTTTTTGAATGCTTTTGTATTATTATTTTCTAAAGATAAAGATATCATCCAGCATTAAAAGTAGAAGCATTTGCATCACATGGCTTTTGTTTTAATTTTTGGAGAAACACATGGGGTTCAGAGAGGAATGAAGGGGTAAACCCAACTCAAATTAATAGGCAAAAAAGAAAAATGTTCCTTGCATAATGGGAAATATCAGAGCTGTTCTGTCAGAGGCTCAAACGATGTCATTAAAGACCCTTTTTCTGTCTGTCCTTCCACTCTGTCTTCAACAGCACAGGCTTCAACCTCAGGCTCTACACTGTATAGTTCTAGGTTCTCCCTCATGATATAAAAAAGACTGTAGCCTGCCAGCTGTCATACACTCTCACCACATCATTTAGCCAAAGGGACATCCTCTTTTTCTCGTGGTTCCCAGGAGGAGAGAGGAAGTTTTCTCTCCTGGAAGCCCCAGCAAATAAGTTCTTGCATCTCATTGGCTCTGACTGGGCTGTATGTCCATCCTTGATCAATCTCACTGGGGTCAGGAGGATGGACTTTCCTTATTTTTTTTAAAAAAATATTTTTATTGATTTCAGACAGGAAGGGAGAGGAAGAGATAGAAACATCAATGATGAGAGAGGATGATCGATAGGCTGCCTCCTGCACACCCCATACTGGGGATCGAGCCCACAACCTGGGCATGTGCCCTGGGCGGGAATCAAACCATACCTCCTGGTTCACAGGTCAACACTCAACCACTGAGCACACAGGCTGGGCTGGACAGTCCTTGTTGATTTAAGTTGATTATGGCTCAATCTGGAGAAGGGGTATTTTCCCTAAAGCAAAATCTGAATACAGTTACCAGAAGTGGGAGAACAGACGATGAATGTAAAAACAATATTTGTTTACAACAAGCTGTTAATGTTATGTTTGAGTTTTCTCAGGTTTCTCAGAGAGATGTTGCTGGGAAATTACTATTGATTTTCTCTAAAATTTCATTAAGTAACTAATGTCTGACCATGCTTACAGTTCTGCACCTGGTTAGGGTGGGATTCTCGCAGCACTGGACACGATGTCACACTCACTCTAAAGTCTCTGGAAGAGGATCATTATTTTTGTGGAAACAGAGAGGGCAAATTTTCATAACACCTTCTGAGAGAAACTGTGGCCAAAAATTTTGGGTTAATGGTCCCATGATGTTCAACTCTAATTGTGGATTTTTCTATTTCTCTTCAGTTCTGTAAGCTTTTGCTTTATGTAGTTTGGAACTGTCATGTTAGATACATACACATTCAGTCTTACATCTTCTTGGTGAATTTACCCTTTGTCATTATATAATGACTGTCTTTATCTCTGGCAATTTTCCCTTTTCTGAAGTCTACTTTATCTGAAATTAATATAGGCACTCAAGCTTTCTTTTGATTATTGTTTGCATATTTTTCCATCACATTAGTTTAAATCTATTTATATTATTATATTTAAAATAAGTTTTCTGCATGTGATTCTTGTGTGTTTTTTTTATTCCATCTGAAAATCTCTTTCATTTAATTGGTGCTGAGACAATTTATATATATAATATAATTGATGTTAGATTGAAATTAAACATATTGCTTTATATATTTTTTATTTATTCCCTGTGTTTCACTTTTTTTCCTGGCTTCTTTTGGATTATTTGAATATTTTACCTTAATGTAGTTATTTGCTTTTTAACTGTATTTTTTAGTAGTTGCTCTCAGGATAATAATGTATATACCTAACTTTTCATAGTCTAGATAGCACTAATATTTTACCACTTCAGGTAAAATATAGATGTCTATAACCACAAAGGTTCTTTGTCCTACTCCTTTTATGTTATGGAAACAGAGCCTAAGCCGTTAGTTGGACATCCTTAGCACTGCCACATTGGCCAGCCATGAGTTGGCTTCTGGCTGAGCAGCGCTTCCCCTGTGAAAGTGCACTGACCACCAAGGGGTAGTGCCTGTGTTGAGTTTCTGCCCCCTGGTGGTCAGTGTGCATCATAGTGACCGATTGTTCCTGGTCGGTCAATTTGCATATTACCCTTTTATTTTTTATTTTTTTTATTTTTTTTTGTGATTAATCACTATGCTTTATTTATTTATTTATTTATTTTTTCTAAAAGTATTACAAAGGGTATTACATAAGTGTCCTTTTTTCCCCCCCACCCTTGACAAGCCCCTGCCCTCCCTTACCCCCCAGTGTCTTATGTCCATTAGTTATGGTTATATGGATGCATACAAGTCCTTCGGTTGATCTCTTATTCCCCTCCCTCCTGTCCCCCAACCCTCCCTGGCCTTCCCACTGCAGTCCGACAATCAGTTTGAGGCAGCTCTGCCACTGTATTTATTATTGTTCAAAAGTTTGTAATGGTCTTAATTATCCATGAAAGAGTGAGATCATGTGGTATTTTTCCTTCATTGACTGGCTTGTTTCACTTAGCATAATGCTCTCCAGTTCCATCCATGCTGTTGCAAATGGTAAGAGTTCTTTCTTTTTAACAGCAGCATAGTATTCCATCGTGTAGATGTACCACGGTTTTCTAATCCATTCATCTACTGATGGGCACTTAGGCTGTTTCCAGATCTTAGCTATGGTGAATTGTGCTGCTATGAACATCTGGGTGCATATATCCTTTCTGATTGGTGTTTCTGGTTTCTTGGGATATATTCCTAGAAGTGGGATCACAGGGTCAAATGGGAGTTCCATTTCCAATTTTTTGAGGAACCTCCATACTGCCTTCCATAGTGGCTGCACCAGTCTGCATTCCCACCAGCAGTGCACAAGTGTTCCTTTTTCTCCACATCCTCTCCAGCACTTGTGGTTTGTTGATTTGTTGATGATGGCCATTCTGACTGGTGTGAGATGGTACCTCATTGTTGTTTTGATTTGCATCTCTCGGATGATTAGTGACTTTGAGCATGTTTTCATATGTCTCTTGGCTTTCTGAATGTCCTCTTTTGAAAGGTGTCTATTTAGATCCTTTGCCCATTTTTTGATTGGATTGTTTATCTTCTTTTTGTTAAGTTGTATGAGTTCCCTATAAATTTTGGAGATTAAGCCCTTATCAGATATGACGTTGGCAAATATGTTTTCCCACGAGGTGGGTTTTCTTGTTTTGTTGATGGTTTCTTTTGCTGTGCAGAAGCTTTTTATTTTGATGTAGTCCCATTTGTTCATTTTCTCTTTAGTTTCAACTGCCCTAGGAGCTGTATCAGTGAAGAAATTGTTTTGGCATATGTCTGAGATTTTGTTGCCTTTGTATTCTTCTAGAATTTTTATGGTTTCCTGTCGTACATTTAAGTCCTTTATCCATTTTGAGTTTATTCTTGTGTATGGTGTAAGTTGGTGGTCTAGTTTCATTTTCTTGCATATATCTGTCCAATTTTCCCAACACCATTTATTGAAGAGACTATCTTGGCTCCATTGTATGTTCATGCCTCCTTTGTCAATAATTAATTGAGCATATTGGTTCGGGCTAATTTCTGGACTCTCTATTCTATTCCACTGATCTATATGTCTGTTCTTGTGCCAGTACCAGGCAGTTTTGAGAACAGTGGCTTTGTAATACAGCTTGATATCTGGCATTGAGATCCCACCTACTTTGTTCTTTCTCAGGATCGTTGCAGCTATTCGGGGTCTTTTTGTATTCCAGATGAATTTTTGGAGAGTTCGTTCTAGATCTTTGAAGAAGGCCATTGGTATTTTAATGGGAAGTACGTTGAATGTATAGATTGCTTTGGGTAGTATGGACATTTTAATGATGTTGATTCTACCAATCCAAGAACATGGTATGTTCTTCCATCTGTTTATGTCTTCCTCTATCTCTTTTTTCAACGTCCTGTAGTTTTCTGAGTAGAGGTCTTTAACCTCTTTAGTTAAGTTTATTCCTAGGTATCTTAATTTTTTTGGTGCGATGGTAAATGGGATTTTTTTTCTAATCTCTCTTTCTGAAAGTTCACTATTGGTGTATAGAAATGCCTCAGATTTCTTGGGGTTAATTTTGTATCCTGCTACATTGCCAAATTCATGTATTAAGTCTAGTAGCTTTTTGATGGAGTCTCTAGGGTTTTGTATGTATAATATCATGTCATCTGCAAATAAGGACAGTTTTACTTCCTCTTTTCCAATTTGGATGCCTTTTATTTCTTCTTCTTGCCTAATTGCAATGGCTAATACTTCCAGTACTATGTTGAACAGGAGTGGTGAGAGTGGGCATCCCTGTCTTGTTCCTGTTCTTAGGGGAAATGGTGTTAGTTTTTGACCATTGAGTATGATGTTGGCTGTGGGCTTGTCATATATGGCTTTTATTATGTTGAGGTATGATCCTTCTATTCCCACCTTTCTGAGAGTTTTTATCAAAAATGGGTGTTGGATTTTGTCGAATGCTTTTTCTGCATCAATTGATATGACCATGTGGTTTTTTTCTTTCAATTTGTTTATGTGATGTATCACATTTATTGATTTACGGATGTTGTACCATCCTTGCATCTCTGGGATAAATCCTACTTGGTCATGGTGTATGATCCTTCTGATGTACTGCTGGATCCGATTTGCTAAGATTTTGTTGAGGATTTTGGCATCTATGTTCATGA